GGGGAGGGGAACAGCATTGGGGAATCAGGGAAGGGGAACAGACAAGTTGCTGTCCTTTTGTTCTTCAGTCTAGTTGTGGAGGACGTTGCTTCACATTGGTATTATTATTGCACTCTTCCCGGGGGAGGCAGATTGGTCGCCAGCCATTGGACAGCTGCTCATGGTGGCTCTTAGCAGCTCACACTGGCTGCCGGCCGCTCACACCGGCTGCCAGCCACTCACGGTAGCTTATGGCAGCCCACTGCAGCTTCTCTGCAGCCTAGGCCGTCGCCGGTGACTCATGGCAGCCCAGCTCAGGTCGAGCTGTTGTTCACCATCTTAACAGTAGAGAGTTCAGTGTCACTGCCCTCATGTGGGATCCGAACTGGGGCCTTGCTGCTCAGAGCTGGAGTCCCAAGCCAACTCCTAACCAACGCACCACTTGGCCAGCCCTGTAGATTCATTTTTTTAAAAATCAGTTCTATTGCTTATACATGCAAGTCAATAACTGCCAATGTGGTTCATTTTTTAAAATAGGTTTTATTATGGAGGACTAACTTTGATGGACTCAGTTGTAAAGATGTTGTTAAAAGAAATCTCAAAAGATTACATTTTGATTCGTCACCACATCTTCTTGATATCTACCCGAGAACATCACATCCCCACGAGAGAAAACCTGAGACCATTGAAGTGAGTACTTTGTACATATTGGAGCTACTATTTGTAAGTGTACATTTTGGGACTACTGGTCAACTAGATGCTTGAAATTATGCTGAATTGTATAAAATCTAGTCCTGCCTTAAAACAGCACTTCAAGAAACAATTATTTTCACTAATAAAAATTATAAATGTGGTAGGGCATCATTGTTCTAAATCCTTTCATATTTGTTTCTTGAAGGCTTAGGAATGAAACTTTAAAATTGTGTTGATAGTAATAGGAAATGAAGAATCAAATCTAAGGCCCCTTAGATTTGTGACTGTGAAGCCTGAACAAGCTTAATGTTTTAGATAGGTTTAGGGAGCTCATGTGATGTTTCATGAGAACAGAGATCAGGGACAAGAATTTTTATAACAGTTCTTGAAATAAGTATCTTCAAGCCCTTTAATTTATAGCAAAGAAAAAAAATCATATGAATGTAAAAAGAAAAGATTTGAGCATTAAACCTAATAATTAAGACCATTTTACTATCTGCTTACATCTATTTTCAAATATATAATTATCTATTTAGCTGTGTGTTTTTGTTGACAAATTCCCTTAGGTCCTGTAGATTTAAATATCCTACTCTCCTCAAAGAAAATATTCATCTTTGCTGGGTACTTAGCAGGTATTACTCTGTTTCTTTCCATTTTGCATGATTCTCCTTAAGCCCCTTTTTCCCCCAAGAGTTGATACCTAATCATTATTTCCTGTTCATCTGAATTTTTTTTTCAGCATTTACAAAGCCTTTCTTTGCTTTTAGAGTAGTTAGAGTTCTTTCTAAAAATTATTTGTTTTTTTTAGTTGCAGTTGACATTCAATATTACTTTATATTAGTTTTAGTTGTACAGCTCAGTGATTAGGCATTTATATGATTTATGCAGTGATCCCCCTAATTAGTCTATTACCCACCAGGCACTATATACATAGTTATTAGCATATTATTGACTATATTTCCTGTATATAGGAACTTTACATCCCCATGACTATTTTGTAAGTACCAATTTGTATTTCTTAATCCCTTCACCTTTTTCACCCATCCCCCTAACCCCTTTCCCCTCTGACAATGATCAATTTATTCTCTGTATCTATGAGTCTGTTTCTGTTTTGTTTGTTTATTGTTCTTTAGATTCCACATATAAGGTGAGGTCATATGGTATTTGTCTTTCTCAATCTGACTTATTTCACTTAGCATACTACCCTGTAGGTCTCACATGGTAAGATTTCATTCTTTTTTATGGCTGAATATTTTGAGTTCTTAAGACTCATTCCTGAGTGGCAATTCACAGTCACCTCATGCACTGTTCATACCTGCTTCCATGGTCTTGTGTGGAAGGCCCCCACCCCCTAATCATTTTTTTAATTTTGGTTTCCTTAATCTTGGTCTTTTCTATCTCAGGTATTTCTGTTAGTCTCAAGTTTGGTGTGTGTGTGTGTGTGTGTGTGTGTGTGTGTGTGTGTGTGTGTGTGTGTGTGTAAGTTTTTGAAACTTAAGTTTTTGGGGGCTATTTTCTAGATTTTGTTTAATCTGGGAATATTTTGTTATTTCTGCCCTAGTTTTTCCTTGGTAATGTTTATTTCCAGTCCTTTGCTATAATTTTGGTCCAGTCCAACTTCAAACCATCTTTCTAGTTCTTCAGAATAAAGTATTTACCTTTATGCTTTACTACTTAATCATGCTAATTATTATAATTTTTCCCTTTTATTTCTTTGAAAGAAAGAATATAATGTAATTTGTTTGAGGTTCATCACATTTGTGTTTCAGTTTCTACAATGATAGATGTATTTTTGATCCCCTGTGATCATGTACAGAGTGCCAAAAAAATGTGTACACATTTTAAGAAAGGAAAAAACTGTATTAAAATTGTAATATTCAATATATACCAATAACGCTTTTCCTCTTCCGGGAACCGTGTCTAAAGGCATTCAGAATGGTCCAGCGTTTGACATACCGTAGGAGGCTCTCCTACAATACAGCTTCCAACAAAACTAGGCTGTCCCGAACCCCTGGGAATAGAATTGTTTACCTTTATACCAAGAAGGTTGGGAAAGCACCAAAGTCTGCATGTGGCGTGTGCCCAGGCCGACTCCGTGGAGTTCGTGCTGTGAGACCTAAAGTTCTAATGAGGTTGTCTAAAACGAAAAAGCACGTCAGCAGGGCCTATGGGGGATCCATGTGTGCTAAGTGTGTCCGTGACAGGATCAAGCGTGCTTTCCTTATTGAGGAGCAGAAAATTGTTGTGAAAGTGTTGAAGGCACAAGCACAGAGTCAGAAAGCTAAATAAAAAAATGAAGCTTTTTTGAATAATAAACACAATTAAAAGGCTTAAAAATATATATATATATATACCAATAACAAAAGATGAATACAAGTCACATGTATACAGTTTTTTTTTGGCACCCCCTGTATATTCACATAAAATATATGCGAAGTATATTTTAATTTGAAGTTTTTGTTGTTGTTTGACCCATGCTGGCTTTCTTGACTCTCGGTGGTTTTGATTCTAGCTAGCATTTCTGTGGCTTGGCTGAGCTTAACCTTCAGTGTTGTTTCTGCTGCCTTAGCAACCTCTCAGCCACCTTTCTGGAGTGATGGATGGCAGAGCTGCAGCCTGAGCCCTGGTCTCCTTACTCCTCATTCAGTGATATTTCCACGGCACCACACTACCTCAGCCTTGGCGGTTCAAACCATTCAAGCTATCTTCTCTGTGATTTACTGTCAGGCCCAGCCCATTTAAGAATGCTGGACTTGCTTTAAAATGTCAACTGGTTGTCTTGTAGCTCTGTTCTGACAGTGCAACCAGAAAACACTAAACCAGCTGGGTTGCTTTGTATGGCTAGGTCAAAATGACCCAAGCCAGGAAAAGCCACTCTCAACCGAATTTTTCACATACACAATTAAAAAACCTATTAAAAACTGACTTTTCATCTTGGAATTAGAGTTCAGTTAACACTGTACAGAATGTTGAGCATTGTGACTGAATTATGTTTGTGGCCCTAAGAAAGTCAGCCTGTGTGTACCCAGTTTAAATTACCTGTGAGCACGCATGCTGCTTAAATTAAGTACATACTATGACTTATATTTGTAAAAATGCCTTTATATCCTGTGATGTAAAATGCCAGAGAAGTGATAGGATTCTACATGTGAACAACCAATTGTTCAATTTATTTTTCTTTAAATCTCTTATAAAGCAGGAGTGTAAAGTTTTCTGGACAGAGAACATATTTAATATGATGAATAAATAATTGTTAAATATCAAATTAGTTTTGATATTAATGTCTGGGTCCCTCATAGAGCCAAAAACTATTAGTTTAAAAATAGCACTTAGAATAGAATAGTAAGATTCAGACTAGAAGTTGTGCTGTATTCATTTAGATTAAGTAAATTTTACTTTGAAATACCAAATTTTGTGGATTGAATTTTTTCCAAAGCTTTAGGCAAAGTCAGCTTACATATGTTACTTTGGAAATACATGAAAATTAGCAAAACTTTCTTTTTTTCGAGGTTGGAATTCATTATTAAAATGCATTATTAGAAGATGTGGAATAAATAGCAGGTAAAGGATCTAATTAATTTCATTAACTCTCTCTTTTTGCAGTAACTATGGGTATTTCATGTCTGAGTTTGAAGCAACATAGCATTCCTGTAATTTGCATTTTACAGTATTTTCTGTGAAGCTCATTTGAATCGTGTCCTTTCAGTGTTTTCTGGGTGAGACTTTGGCCTTTCGCAGAAGCCACCCATTCACCATTCCCAAGTACTCCCCTTGTTTACAGGTGGGGACCCTGCGGTACCAGCTAGCTAAATATATAAATTACTAATTCCTACATGGATCGACAGGGTGACAGTAGGTTGCTTTTAGACGAGATGAGAGGTCACATGAAAGAAGGTCTGAAGCATAAAATCCTTCCCCTGCTGAGTGAGTGAAACAGACCCCCTAGTGTCCTTTCTATTGATCTAACAGCAGGTCCTGTGCAGCGCCTTGGCTTTCTATCTTAGTTAAAAACATGAGAACAACTTCTTTCTTTTTTTGGTGGGAAAGAGGCCCAATTTTCAAGTAGTGTGTCTTAGCCCGCCCCATGGTCTGCCCTGGCACATCACTAGTCCTGCTGACTTCATCTTCTGACTGTCACGAGCTACATGGCACAGTCCTGTCCCCAGACAAAAGTACACTTTCCTTTTGCAGGAGGAACTTAATGTGAGTACGTGGCACTTGTACCCTGAGCAGCCCCCTACTCTTGTGCATATTTTGATAAGAAGACAACAGAATCATCATGCAAAAGGATGGTGAAGGCATCAAAATAGTTATTCTATGAGGGTTGCAGAATATTGTAGGAAGGGATTATTATGGTTAGTTAGTTTAAATAATTTATTAATAAAATAATTGTTGTAATGGTTTTTAGTTTTATCATGGCCATTTGAGATGCCTTAACTCATAAATTGCATAGGAAATCCTGCATGATATTTAGTAGGAAGGAAAACTTCCTTTAACTTAACCAAATATTTATATAATAATATTTTGTGATAGTCTGGCCCTGATTCATTGTTGAAAACTATAATCAATTTAAGACTTTAAGTTGAAGATTGGGTTTTTATCTCAATCTTCTGTAAAGATTGAGAACATTACAATTTATTATTTTGAAAATGACCACTTCTCTGCCAATTTTGTATTTTGGATCTGGCTGTGGTATATGTCTTTATTGTTTTGGGCCTCAATAAATGTCCTTTAGTGATTTACATGATAATAGTAGTAATAATAATAATAATACCTAACACATACAACATTACTTTAATTGTTTTACATAAATTAAGTCATTTAATCTTCCTAAAAACTCTATGAAGTGGTACCAATTTTTATCCCATGAGAAACTGAGGCACATGCAAATTAAATCTTAAAGCTAGTAAATGGCAACACTAGAATTTCAACCCAGGCACTCTGGTTCCATTCTGTACTTTTTTTTTTAAAGATTTTATTGGGGAATTGGGGAGGGGAACAGTGTTGGGGGATTCAGGGAAGGGGAACAGACAAGTTGCTGTCCTTTTGTCCTTCAGTCTAGTTGTGGAGGACGTCGCTTCACTGGCCCATGTTAGTATATTGCACTGTTCCCCGGTGAGGCAGTCGCTCGCCAGCCATTGGACGGCTGCTCACAAAAGCTCACGCCTGTTGCCGACCAGCCCCATTGCAGCCTATGCCATCGCCAGCAACTCACGGCAGCCCAGCTCCAGGTCCAGCTGTTGTTCACCTGATCTTAGCTGTACAGGGCGCAGCGTCACTGGCCCTCATGTGGGGTCCGAACCGGGGCCCAGCTGCTCAGTGCTGGCGTCCCAAGCCAACTCTTAACCAACATGCCACTCGGCCGGCCCTCCATTCTGTAATTTTAACCATTTTGATGTAATGCTTGAGTATATTCAAAATTAAATTTCCCTTGTTAACAGATATTAAGCATGTATGTGCTGAACATTGTACTATCTTTAGAGTATGTGATAGGGAACACCATGGATTTCTTGCCCTTCAGAATTTGTTAGTAGTGGTGCTTGTGTTCATGGACTACTAAAATGTGATGACTACAGAGAACCTCAGAGTGGAATGGTTCCTGTGACGTCCTGCCGACTAACCTCTCCCTCAGGTGTGAATTCCTCAATGATGTGCTGTGTTCAGAGATGGAGATCTCAGCATCTCATAAGGCAATCCACTCCGTTTCAAGACAACTGTAGTTATTGAAGGGTTCTTGTCAATAAAAATGGATAGCTGGAAGGTACTGTTAGTATTTCTGGAGGTTAGCTAGCAAAGAACTTAATTGTGAGTGTCATCCCCTCAGCATATTTTCTTTATGGAGAAGACTAAACTTTTACTTAGTAAGAGTTTCCTGCTTCTTTTAATGTATGCAGCAGCAACTTGTGCTGCAATACAGTCACATACTGTTACATCAACAGTTTTCCAACTTGTAGAAGTTCAAGGATTTCTCTATGAGAGATGCTGATCACTTATATCCGTGTGATTTCGATGTTTTTCAGCAGTTCCAATTGCAGGTTGTAAAACCAGGTTGTATTTTTCACAGGTAAACAACTTCATTTCTCCACTAGGTGGCAGTAGATAAAAGAGAATAAAATGTCTGCAAGCGGTCTCTTTGGACAGTTAGTAGATTGAAAGGAAAGTAGGTCATCCTCAGGTTTCTTATCTTTGCCTTACCTCTGGACTCAGAGTTGATAGGAGGGGGCTGTGTGTTCGGCTCTGTGGACAAGAAAGGAACAAGGTGTTGGCAGGCTGAGCAAATATGCCCCCATTCCCACCCTGCACAGTTTTAATCTCTTTACTGTAGCATGGAGATTACTAGGCACGTAAACCTCCACTTCTAACACAATTGGCTGGATAATTATAAAAGTTTCTTAATATTTCCAAAACTATAGCTATGCCCATCAAACACAATAAGTGCTTTTAAAATCGTTTAACTGCTCTTACCTCAGGCTCCGTCCTTATCACCACAGACCTAACCTGTTGCAGTAGTGTCCTGCCTATAATCCCTGCTGTATTCTTGGTACCCAACATGTCTCTGTCAGATGAATCTTTCTAAAGCACATTTTAGCCTCCACTTTTTCTGTGCCTTCCCAAATTCCTTCACCCTTCACAGCTTGACCCTTGACAACCTCTCTTATATGCAGAAGTCATCTTGGCATTCACCTCTGTTCAGGAATGCTTTTTACCTTATCGCTGTCTCTGTTTTTGTTTTTGTTTTCTGAACCTTCTTTAAAGCAGCCATCTTAAGCTGTTTCCTCCACAGGAAGCCTTTCTCACTAAGCTCAGTCAGTTTCTTCCTTGAGGTTCTGCACTGTGCTTATTGTTGGTACCATTCATATCATATGGATGAAATTTATTTGTTATTATTCATAACGTTTAATAAATATTTGGTAATGATGTGGTTTCAGTTTTTTGCTTTTTGTTTTCAAATTCGGAAATAACCTCCCTCAGAAGTAGCTGCCACTCTAGTTAATTATTCTCTTGCTTTTCTTTTTTATTTACTATTTACTATATATGTTTGAGGATTATTAGGTATTATTTAGTTTTGGATGGTTTTAAAATTTATATGAATGAAATCATACTGATTATATTCTCCTATAGCCTACTTTTTTATTTAACATTCAAATCCTGAGATTCAGAAATATGGACTCTGAATTCATACATCCATAGGCTGCTGTACATAGTTTTATTTTATTCCTCTCACTGCTGTATAGGATTCCAGTGAATTTACCACAGTAGTAATTCCTACAATTTATGTATTTATTCCACTATTATTAAATTGGGGGGTATTTCTGGTTGTGGGTTTTGGTGGTGGTGGTGGTGGTGGTGGTGGTGGTGGTTTGCCATTACAAACCATTGAGCTTTCCAGTTTTTGCAGTTTAGTAGGTATCAAGTTATATTTTGCTTTAATCCCTTCTTTCCTAATCACTAATGTTTCTAAAAATCTCTTCATATACTGGATGGTTAATCATCAGTTTTACTTTTCTGTAATTTTTTTTCTCGGGATTGTTGTCTTTTTCACATTAGAGGTATTCATATTTCTTTTTTTTTTCTTTTTTTAAAGACTATTGGGAAATTGGGGGAGGGGAACAGTGTTGGGGAATTGGGGAAGGGCAACAGCCAAGTTGTTGTCCTTCAGCCTTAGTTGTGGAGGGCACAGCTAGCTCAGCTCCAAGTCTAGTCGCCATCTGGCCACCTGTTGGCAGCTCACGGCTGCCCAGCTCAAGGTGCCATGTTAAATCTTAGTTGCGGGTGGGTGTAGCTTGTTGTTAGGAGCACGTGCTCTCACCAGCCGAGCCATCCTGCCACCTGTTGGCATCTCAGCAGCAGCTCAGCTCGGGCTCAGCTTACTGGCCAATGTGGGAATCGAACCGGCGACCCTGTTGCCCAGAGCTTGCACTCTTAACCAACTGAGCCACTCGGCTGGCCCCCATGTTTCTTACACATTTAGATATTTGTCCTTTTCAGTTTTAGACATCATACTATCACCTTCTGTTCCATTATCTTATTGTTAACTTTGTGGTGTCCATTGTTAAATAAAAATTTTTAATTTTGGTATGATCAGATGCATCAAATTTTTTTCCCTTATGGTTTTGCTTTTGTTTAAGATGTCCATCTCAACCCTGGGTCACAAAGGTATTCTTATACAGTTACTTTGATTAACTTTATAATTTTGACATAACACTTAGGTTTTGCAATTATCTGCTGTCCACCTTTGTATGTAGTAATAGGCAGCAAGCCATATAGTGAGCCAGTTTCCCAAACTATAACTCATCTTTTCTCTATTGATTTGTGGTACTATTTCCCTTTTATATTTTCCATACATACAGAGCTCTACATCTGAGCTCCTTACCATATAGCTGTCTATTTAGTTAAGCCTTCTATAGTGTTCTGGCATGAGTTTTATACTTTTTTTCCATAAAAAGGCCATACGCATCTTTGTATGTTTGTCCTGATGTATTTAAATTTTTTATGGTGTTGTAAATGATATCTTTTTAAAATTTACATTTTCTAACTATATTGAATTGCAGATGTGCAACTGATTTTGTATATTTATTTTCAATCTACTAAACCCTCTTATTAGTTCTAATGATATAGCAGTAGATTCTTTTGGAATTTTACCATAGACAATTATCTGTAATGACAATTTTATTTCTTCAGTTCCAATTCTTACATCTTAACACCTTTTATTTCCTTGTCTTAATGAACTGGCTAGGATTTTTTTCTGCATCTTTTGAGGTGGGTCATTTTTATTATTTTTTAAATCCCTTTATAGGTGAATTATACTGACTTTTCTAATGTAAAATCAACTTTTTATTCCTGGAATAAATTCAGCTTGGTCATGATGATATTTTTCTTATACATTGATAGAGTTGATGGACTAATATTTTGTGTAAATGTTTATATCCATGTTAATGAATATACCAACATATTTTAATTTTAGAGTATTTTAGGAAATACCCTCTAAGTTGTTACAAGTGGCATCCGGTTTCCTATGGTATAAAAATCTAATATTAACTTTCCTTATGTATATATACAGATTAATCCAAAGCTTGAGGTAATGGATTTGCAGACCTCTACTCCCCCTGTTGTGGATGTCCTTTCTTTTGATTCTCCCACAGTAAGTTTTTTTTTGACATTTAGTAGTATTTAAATAATAAATACTTATTTGGCGCAATCTGTTCTCCTTAAAAAGTATGTAAAATAGAAGATAAAAAGTGGGTTCTAAATAGCCTAACATTTAGCATAGCAATAACCTTGTACAAAAAGTCATATTTACAAAGTGTCTGAAGAGCCACAAGGGGGCGCCGCATCAGTTCCGGGAGGACCTGGAGCTCAGTCTCACGCGTACTCACTGTTGCCTCTCCTCTCAAGGTGCCACTCAGCTGGCATTTCACTTGCTGTTACAGAACAGACTCCCTTCTTTGTTTTTTTTGTTTGTTTTTTTTTTAATTTTTTTTTTTTATTGGGGAATTGGGGGGATGGGAACAGTGCTGGGGAATTAGGGGAAGGGGAACAGACAAGTTGCTGTCCTTTTGTTCTTCAGTCTAGTTGTGGAGGACGTTGCTTCACTGGCCCAAGTTGGCACCATCATTGCGCTCTTCCAGGGTGAGGCAGATCAGTCGCCGGCTTCTGGACGGCCGCTCACTGCGGCTGCTGGCCGCTCACGCTGGCTGCTGGCTACACACGGTAGCCCATGGCAACCCACTGCCACAGGGGCTGCAGCCCACGCCGTCGCCGGCGACCCACGGCAGCCCAGCTCCAGGTTGAGCTGTTGTTCAGCATCTTAGCTGTGGAGGGCAGTGTCACTGGCCCTCGTATGTGGGATCCGAACCGGGGCCCTCTGGCATCCCAAGCAAGTTCTTAACCATCGCGCCACTCGGCCGGCCCTCCCTTCTTTGTTAATTGCCTCTCCGAGGTGTTAAGTTTACTTCTGGTCTTCTCCTTAGAAGCTACAAGAAAAACAGTCATTTCCCTTTGTTTATCCTTCCTGATGAATTATGTAGACATTAAGAAATACTTCTAATACTTGCAATTTTATTTATAAAAGTCCCATACAGATAATTTATTTACTCTGTGTATCCAAAGTCTTCAAAAATTGAGTCTCAGCCTTTCCATTTAAGTCTCTTAATCTTTGTGAGGCAGACCCTTGCCGTGGATTCTAATCAGGGCAGACGAGTCATAAGAACGAATGGGAGGGATGGCCCGGGCTTCGGCAACACTACTCTGGTGGTGTCAGTATAGTTAAATACTTTGGGTAAATTATTAATGCGTGGCCAAAAAGGAAAACAAACACTTGATATCGGTGGTGACAACTAGTACCTCAAGGGGTCTGTGGTCTTGTGTCCTACAGTGTTCCTGTTTATAAAATACCCTACTAGCATTTCTGCATTAATAACTTACTTATGACATTAAACATTAACTAGACATCTAATTCTTGCCACAGAGCTTGGCTTCTGGTAGTTGCGCAATATATTTATGTGCAGTGAATTACTCAAAAGGCATGCTGTTGAAATTTACAAATTCTGGTGTGTTGGGGTTTGCCCCTGTAGTGAGAGGAGAGAAAAGTAGGTGGTTTTGAGATGTGTTGCCTTCTTATGAGGTTGTCAGTGGACTTAAAATTGGGTGTCCCTGACCTAGATAAGATCACAGATTATCAAAAACCCTTTGGTCCACACTTTAAGACTCACTGTCCTTGACAGGACCCTTCAAGCTTTGCAGGGCTTCCTGACCTAAGGAGTGCAGATGCTCTCAACAGACAGTGTGCTGTGGAGGGGAGCACAGCTACCACCTGACAACTGATAGCAGGGTGTCTGTCCTTGGATAGTAAACCAGAGGCGCCAAAGTCACCTAGTCTGCGTTATAGGACCTACCTCAGGAATACAGTGTGAGTGCTACTGCTAGAGGACAATTCTGTGTAATACACACATCACAGATCTGCAGCTGTGATACAAAACAGAATAATAAGACTGATGACTACAGTTATTATCCACATAAGGAAAATATTAGGTTAAATTATATGAAATTGCCATTTCGTATGCTAAATGGTCTAGCATCAGTGATTCCCCGTGGTTCAACCCAATAGGTAAGCATTAAAAGGAAGATTCCACTGTTACTTTGAGTTGTGTGCTCAGTGGTACATTAAAAAATAAAACAAACAAGGAAACACAGGAAAACAAAAACCTGTTTGCTACCAATTGCTTTGGAGTTAGGTTTAAGTCCCATCTAGGTAGATTCTTTTATAATCTGGAAGATTACTGCTCGTCTCTAGGCAAGACACAGACTCCTGATTTTATATATTCCATTAGGGCATAGATGCTCAGAAAGCATTTAGATTTTCATAAAGAATATCTCTAAAATACTATCCTTCCAATTTTATCTTTTCCTTCTTTTTTC